ACGGGGGGCGCGCCCCGCCCAAGCCTGGCTCTCTTCGAGCGGCATCTTGCGGTTGCGCTGCTGCTGCACCGCGGACCGATCGTCCCAGTAGTGCTCAATCAGCCAGAGCTTCCTGCAGGAGATGGCGTCACGCATGTCCATGCCGTAGTCAGCGACGGTGAGCTTCATCGTGGACTTCCACATGTCGTGGTGCAGCGCCGGCCCGAGACGGTGCGAAAGGAGGCCACGGCGAAGCCAGTGATCTGCTCCTCATGGCACAGCTGCACCACCTCTTGCCGGTCACGCGAGCTACCAACCGCGCCGCCACTGGGGCCGGGATGTCCAGGATCCGCGCGTCGTCGCCCCAGCACTCCTGCCTGAAGTAGGCCACCTTCGCCTAAGCCAGGAAAGCCCCTGAAGCGCCCGCGCCCGACGGCAGCGTGAAGGGGCCTCGCCTCCCGACGCGGCCAGCCAGCAGCACCCCGCCTGGGCCCCCGACCTGCAAGGGCTGCCTGGAAGTCACGACCCCGTCGACGTCCCCCGCCGCGGCGACCCACGCCCAGCCTGCTGCGGCCGCGCCGGTGGGCAGCGGCGGCACGGGCGCGGTATCTGGCACCGCGGGGCGGCGGCCCATCGCCGGCGGCACCACCGCCGCTGCCGCCACGGGCGGCGCGGCGAGGGCGGGCGCGCCAGGCGCGGCGCCGCGGCGGCCTCGGCGCCTCCCACGGGGCCGCCAGGAGGCGGCGCCGCGGCCGCGGGTAACAGCGCCCCGGCGCGGCCCCGCCCGGAGCTGGGGCAGCGGCCGGATCGGCCATCGCCATCGGCCCCGCAGCCGCTCCAGCGCAGTTGAGGGCCGAAAGTTCGACGTTGAAGGGCGACATCGGGAACGGCCCGAAACCAGCGGCGAAGCCACAGCGCAGCGCCGCCCACAGCTCTTCCAGCGTGGGCAGCCGACGCAACCTGTAGGTCTGGTCGTCGCCCATGACCCCGATGCGTCTGCCGTGCCCCGCGATCGGCTGGATGCTGCGGATGTCGGCGTCGGGCACCAGGCTCATCGTAGTCGTCCAGGTTCGGCGTCAGCACATGCCCCGTCGGGAAGAGCGTCAGCCTCTGGTGGTACACCGCCACGCCACCCACGTTGTAGCGAGCGAGGTGCCAACTGCCAGCCGCACCCGCGGCAGCCATCACGGAGGCGACGAGGGGGCTGGGCGCCATAAGGCCCTAGCCTGGGCCGCGGCCAGCGCCTGCACGTCCTCGAACGATCCCTCACGGGCGCCTCGGCGGTCGAGAGAGCCGCCGCGGCACGAGGCGCCGCCAGCGCGGTCACGGCCTCAGTCCCGAGCGAGGCCCTGGGCGCGGCCGCCCGCGCGGGCGCGGCCTCCCTCGGGCGCGTCGCCCAGAGGGCCCACGCAGCCCCCACGGCGGCCCCCGCGAGGAGGCAGGCACCGGCCACTGGCGCCAGCGGCCTGCCTGCCCGACTACGCCCTCACCGCCTGGGCATGAGCAGACCAGCAGCGGGCACGACCAGGACGGGGAGCAGAAGCAGTCGGGGCACGACGGCCTGCAGGCGCGGACCACCAGGGAGCTGGTGACCGCCTTGCGCCATGCTGCGCGTCAGCGCCTCCAGCCCCCACGGCATGTCCTGGCGGAAGGCCCTCCAGCGCGAAACTGAAAGGCCTCAACGGCAGTGGAAATGCGGCCTCTCTCTCTCTCTCTCTCTCACGGCTGGCGGCAATCAACAACAAAATAAAATGCAGGAGGAAGAGGAGGACGAGGAGGAGGAGGAGGAGGAGGAGTGCAAGGATGTGAGCGAGGAGAAGGTGCGGTCAGGAGAATCGGAAAAGAGACGGAGGGGGGGAACCGAGGGGTGTCCAGGGAGGATGGAGGCAGGAAGGAAGTGCGAAGAGGACGGAGGAGGGTGGAGCGGGGGAACGGCGGGAAGACCGCGGGCCCAGGGTTAGAGTACAGGAGCTTCTTAGACGCCCTCGTGGCTGCGTAGACTCGGCCTCCTCGGGGGGCGGGAAAGGGGAGCACGAAGGAGAGGGAGGGGGAGAGCGGGGAGGGAGGGGGAGAGGGGAGGGGAGGAAATCGGACCAGGATGTGGACCCTTTCGGTAAGATAGAAGATGTAAGAGTTCGGAAGCAGGCGTGTTTGATGAGGCAGACCAGCTCCATGCCGCGATCAAGCGGATACTGGCGGGCTTCACAACCGTAAGGGTGGCTGGCCACTGCAACCAGCAAAGTAAGGACTGGATTGAACAGGTCCGCGTGTCTGCTTGTATGAAGCCAAATCGAGTGGTTGCCCCAAGGGACGGGGTTGTCACCTCGAAGCGGCCTCACCGCATGATAACCAGAGTGAGCGTGCGGTTCTGATAAGAAGAGATATTGCGGGAGGATGAGGAGGAGGAGGAGGAGGAGGAGGAGGAGGAGGAGGAGGAGGACTAGAAGGAGGAGGAGGAGGAGGAGGAGGAGGAGAAGGAACAGGAGAAGAAGGAAACCCTCTCAGAATCATTTGGGGTCCTTCCAGGCAGGCTTCTTCTGCCGCCCCTCCCGCTTGTGAAAAAACACCAGGGTGGGCAGTTTGAGGGACCTGGGTCGCCCCTATTCTTCCTGGTATCCTTTTCCTGGCAGGCGTGCGCGGCCACAAACACAAAAATGCAGCGCCAGGAACTACTTGGCGCACCTCCCCGCAAGTATGAATTGCTTCCCGACTCACTATGCAGAAATGGCCTCAACAGATCGTGCGCCTTCTCTTGTGGTGAAGCGGGCCTGGAGGCCAGTGAGCGCCCTGCTGGCCGTGCTTCTCACGGAGGAGCCTGGAGTCACAACGGCCACGCAGCGCCTCGCGCCCCGCAAATGCGCGGCCACCTTCGCGCCCTGGCGCCGCCGCCCTGGAGCCCGGCGCCCCTCCGACCCCAGGCCGCGGTGCGCGAGCATCTCCGCGCAACCCGTGGCGCCCCCTGGGGTGGCCCAGGGGGGCTGGCCGAGGAACCGATAGGGGGTCGATAGGGGGAGCGGCCGAGTGCTCGATAGGGGGTCGAGGAGGCCGCGGGTGGCGGCGCCTTCTTCGGTGCTGCTCCAGGCACCGCTCCAGGAAGGCGGTCTCCTGGTCGCTCATGGTGCCCAGGGAGTCCAGGCTGATGCTCTCGCCCTCGCGTGCCGAGCAGGACACCCTGCACCCTCCCTCCTCCGCCACCTCCTCCCTCCTCCTCCTCCCTCCTCTTTCCTCCTCCTCCTCCTCCATCTTCCTCACGCCCCCTCATCCTCCTACTCCTCCTCTCTTCTTCCCCCTCCTCCTCCTCCTCCGCCTCCCTCCTCCTCCTCCTCCTCCTCCTCCTCATCAGCAGCAGCAGCATCATCATCATCAGCATCATCCCACCCTTCTCCTCCTCCTCCTCTTCTTCTTCTTCTTCCTCCTCCCCCCCCCTCGCCTTCCCCCCCTCCTCCTCCTCCTCCTCCTCTTCTTCGTCTTCCTCCTCCTCCTCCACCTCCTCCTCCTCCTCCTCATCCTCCTCCTTCTCCTTCTCCCTCTCATCGTTCACAAATGATGCCACCGGCACCACGTCACGAAGCAGGAAGCCGCCAGTCGACCCCAGCGACAGCTGCTATTAGCGAGCTCATAACTTTCAAGTATGTACGCTTTAGTAGAGCGATCTCATGCAGCTCGTGCACTTGCAGAGCTGTTGCATTTACACTGTGGCTATGCGAGACATGGCAGGGAGGGGTCAGCCAAGGCGCTGAAGCAAGAGCTACTTTGGGCTCAGGAAGGGCTCCGATCCCCGGGCCGTTCCTTGGGTCCAAGTCGGGCAACCTCTTCGTGGCCGAGGCGTTCGCCGTGGCCAGAACAGCCCCTTCGTTTTTGCTATCAGAGTTCTTGATGCCAGCACGATGACTGCACAATGACATCAACAAGGTGGGGCGCCGTCCCGAGCAGGCCGTCGGCAGCGCCCAGTTCGCAGTGCCACAGCCGAGGCTGACGCGGAGAAGAGGGGGAATGTGGACCGCGCATTGAACGGGCAATCTGCGCCATCAGAAGAAAAACATGCGTAATTAAGCACGAACTGTCGGGGCTCCGCGCACGATGTATTGCATCGGCGCTGGGCCCCCCTCTCAGGGGGCGTCCGGCGGCGATTCTGCGCGGAGCTCTGACAAATCATGTTTATGCAGCTTATGTTATCCGAGCCTGCCCTCTTCGTCCTCCTCATCCGACGCTCTTCCCACTTTGGGCGTGGCAACTCTGCTTCGCGGCACGTGCTCGGATCTCCCCTCCCTCCTCGCCTCCATTACTTTCCATTGCTCCCATCCTCCCTCGCTTCCCGCAGCTGCCCTCCCGCCCCCTTTCTCTCCCCTCCTTTCATCCTTCTCTCCCCTCCTCCCCTCTCACACCCCTGTCCTTCCATCCCGACCTCCCTCCCCCCCCCTCGTGCTCTATCAACACTCCGCACCGCCCATCCTTACCCCTGCTACTCCTCTCCCCATCCACACACACACGGACCCTCCACTCCCATCTCCCTTCTTTCCACCCCTTCTTCCCGTTCGTTCTCCCATCCTGCACACTCTCTTTCCCGCCCCACTCTCATTGCCTACCATCCTCCCTCTGTGCTGGAGAATCCTGAAAGCTCCTACTGCTCCGTGAACCCCTCAATCGCCTACGAAGAACAGCTATCACATATGGCATCCTCCTTTTCTTACTTTTCCTCGTCCTGCTCCAACTCCACGCTTCCTCGTCCTCCTCCGCCTCCTCCTCCTCCTCCTCCTCCTCCTCCCCCCACAATCTCTGATAAGAGGGTCAGCTCTTAGGAAGAGAAAGAGGGGGATACAGAGCGGAGCTGGGTTAGCTAAATGCGCTCGCATCATATCTGACATCCTTCCCCTTACACCCAATAGGGAAGGGGGATCGCATCCCCCGTCCCTACCCCATCGTCCCCTCAGCCGTGACCCGCTGCTGTCGCGACCGGTATCGACATCTTGGCTGCCGCCAGTCACATGGCCTGAGCACGCCAGGAGGACTGCGTACTATTTTTTTCCCGCCGCGACGCGCACCCCAACCAGCCACTGACCGTGCCGTGGCCACGAGCAGCCATCTCGGAGGCCAGGCAGGGGGAGGAGGACGCATGGGAGCGGGAGACGAACGAGGCAGACGCAGAGGGGGAGGAGAACGAGGAGGAGGTGGGGGAGTGCGACCAGAAGGGGCGATGCGGGCTCAGGCCGCGCTCAGCGCGAGGTCGAGAGGACGGCTTTGGCCTTCAAGAGGGAATCTCTTTCCTCAACGCGCGCCTGTTTCCGCACCTCGTAGTACTGCAACACCCAGTCGCAGTCCTTGTGCAAGCCACTCAGCTCCTCTACCGTGGACTGCATTTTCAAACGCGCGTTCTTGGTGGCGACAGTGTCTTCCTGCAGGGAGGCCTCCAGCTCCGCCTTGACGGTCGAGGAGCTTGGTCAAGGGGCTACAGCGGACGAGTTCTGAATGCCGGGAGCCGTTCAAGGAACCCAGTCGCCATGTGATGAGGGGGCTGTGGAAATCAGGTGACTGGCTCTCCGTGGCGGGTTCCAGCGGATCTTAATTAGCCCCCCTGCCCTCTGCCCGCCAAATTCCCCCCCGTCTGGGCCTTGACGCCCTCTTTCTCGGAGACCGATTTCGCGTCGATCGCACGCTTCCGCTTGCACCTCAACAGAAACTCCTCGTACGCCTCCTGAGCGTGCTTCTCCTCCTGCTTGATCTCCTCCGGGGGGACAAAGTCGCACCGATACCTCTACTCCCTGGACTTCTACTGGGGTGCGTTCTAACCAGACTTCCGAAAATAACCCAGCGGTTGCGACGAGAGCTGTCCGGGATGAGCAGAGGCACCAGTATGTGGTACCCCTCGGACTCCTCTATCTGCTTAGTGAGGTCGCTCTGCAGCATCTCAATCATCTGAGTGGCCCCGCCGGCCGCCTCGTGGCTCTTGCGGTACGAGAGGTCGGGACCCTGGGGCGGTTGCGCGCCCTGCGCGCGCGTCTCTGCGCCGTTCGCGCCCGTGTCCTCTAGGGCCGAGAGGAGAGGGGGTGGGCTCCTAATCCTTCGCGTGGCTCCTGTCCTCCTCACTCCCCACTCCTCCTCTGCTGCTCTGCCTCCTCCTTCTCCTCCTCCTCCTCCACCTCCTCCTCCACCTCCTCCTCCTGAACCTCCTCCTCCTCCTCCCCCTGCTCCTTCTCCTCCTACTCTCCCCTTTCCAAATCCTCCCCCGCTCCCTCCCCCCCCCTCTAGTCGAGCCATCCAACTCGTCCTCATGTGCCTCCTGTCTCATCTGCCGCCTGCTCCTCTTCATTCTCTCTGCCATCCTCCCCCCCTGCCCCCTCATAATCCTCGCTCCGCCGTTCCTCTTCTTCCTCCTCCGTATTCTCTCCTGCGTGTCCTCTTCCTTCCTCCCCGCTCTCTCCACTCCACAGACTGGTCACCTTCCCCCTCCCCCAACATCATCCAACTCCTCCTCGGACTCCTCCTCCCCGCCGGGGAAAAAAGATACCGATACCGCCGCTCCCCAAACCTCTCCCAGGGCACATTCTTGACCATAATCTCGCGGAGAATGCAGCCGTGGCCACGCGGGCCTCCCAGGAGGCCCCCGAAAGAGGAACACGAGGCAAGGGTTGTGGTATCGGCACCTGCCCCTCCTCTGACCCGCTGCCAGGTTCTCGTCCTCGTCCGCCTCGTCCGAGTTCAGCTGGGCGAAGGAGGCCGCGGACGCGGCGGCCGGGCCTTGGTGGGCGGGCAGGCCTCGCGCGTGGTCGCGTGCCACGATCACAGCGGCGATGGGCAAGAGGGGAGATTGAGATAGTAAGGCTTCGGGCTGCACACAGACATCCCCCCCCAGATGCCCCGGCTGGCCTCAACAAACTCCTGAGTAGTCTCTGCTGGCCTCAACAGGCCCAACGAATAATCCAATGCGGTCCCAGTACCCCGGCGCCGCCTCCGACGGCACTCCTGGGAGACCCTGGGCTTCTCGGGAGACGGGGAGAGGGCGACCTAGAAAGAAACTATCGCATGGACATCACTTTGGGAGCTCCGCGGCGAATTCTTGGATCGGCGCTGGGCCCCTCCTGGCGGCGCTTCTGGCGCCACCCACGGCGCGCTCCGCGCGCCAGGAAGGAGAGTCCAGCGCGGCCCCCAGACATCCGAGCGGGCGTCCGAACGCTTGCGTTATAGTGTTTTATTTGAGCGGCCTCGTCGCCTCACAAGGCGGCCTCGACGAACAAAAACCAATAACGCGCTCCCAAAATACCGATAATTCGCTTCCCAAGATACAGAACATGCCAACAGGTACCAGAAACAACCCATGTTCAATGCTTTCAAGGCAAGGCGCTCTGCGTGCCTGCGCCAGTGCCAGAGAGGTCCCCCTGAGGGCAGACGACTACACTTGGCGCGGAGATCGGCCCGACGCCGTGTGAGCAATCTCGCTCGTCTTCGAAGGCGACAGCTGCAGCACCACATACAAACAGCTGACTACGTGCAAGACCACCCCAACCCAACCCGAAGACCCGAATTTCGGGTTGGGGGCGGTACGGGCTCCGTGTTTTTTTCAATGATCCCCGACGCCCCCTGAGGGCAACTCGGGGCTTTGGGTTGGGTTGGGGTGGTTTGGTGGGCGGTGAACAACGAGATCGTCGCCTGCCAGCGCTTGCCCCAAGAGGGGATGGGGAGAGGAACAGAAAAACCGTCTGGGGGATTCCCGATTCCAGTCTACGAGAAGATCGATGTTAAGGCTTGCCGCACTTGTTGAATGCTGGCCCGAACGAGCGTGAAGAGGGGGAGGAGGGTCAGAAGGGAAGCGAGAGTTGACGGGGAGGGAGGGGGGGAGAGCAGACGGGAGGGAAAACGGGGGGGTGATACAGAAGGGGGGGGGGGCGGAGAGGGCGCCGGAGGGAAAGGAGTGGATTCTTGAACGCAACAGTGGCTGCATGACGTCGCCGCACGAGGCAGCTGCAAGCCCAGGAGACAAGGCCCAAGCGTGCCACAGAGAAGCAACCAACGGCACGCGGGGTCCGCACCGACCTTGCAGACGTGCTGCAGCGGATTGTCGCGTGGCTTTCTGTCAACGCAAAGCCCCGAAACGGCGAAAAACGAAGTGAATTCCGCGTGGATGTTGCTTTAGTCTTCATTCCTAGCCAACAGAATGCACGAAATGCACCTCGAAATCTGGAACGAAGGTATCCAGGACACTCCGGGCCCATCCTATCGTTTTCCGAACGACATCCGCTCTGCGATGTCCGCGCCATTACAAAGGCGGCTTGCGCCGAAGGCGAAGCCCTCTGTGGAGGGCCCCAGATGGAGGCGAAGTGCTGCTTGGAGAGCACAGTGCGAACAATGTCACTGACGTGCAGCCGTGGGGAGCCCATCAGCGCGCTACTGCGGAAAAGACACAGTGGAGAACGCACATGCTGCGCAAACAAACACCTCCGGATGCCCGCGTGGCTTCTTGGATCGGCGCCGGATCCCCCCTCCCTGGCGGGCGGGCGGAGCGACACGAGACCTTCGGACAAGCACGAACGACTCAGCCCGCCGACGGGCTCCCTGGCGGCAAGCCAGCACAGCCCGACCGGCACGGCCTGCGCGAAAACACCGCCTGGCGGCAGGAGCGCCGCACGCGGCACGGACCGCGAGAGGCGTGCGTCCTGCGTGCTGGCGGCGACAGCGGCCCCCCCCCCGTCGGCGAAGCGTGCGGCACCACGGCGCAGAAAAAGGGGAAGACCAGGCAGTCATCGCGCTGCCGTGCGACACGCCGAACCGGGAGCGAAGGGGCTCCTTTTCCTCCACCAACAAAAAGCACGCCCCCCGCATCTGGCATCGACGAATTGCTCCAAAATGCCGTGGCCAAAGTCCGCCGCCAGCCACTGGCCACGAGCATCGCAAGCTCTCCGAGAAGAGCGAGGGAAGAGAGGAGGGGGGAAGGAGGAGAAGGGGCCACGGCGCTATGCAGAGATCCCACGCGACCCAAAAGGCCACTGCTGGAATGCAGACAGCACGCAACTGCAAGCAGAGGGAAAGAGAGCGGAAGGGAGAGAACGACACGCCGTAGTGGAGGATATAGACTGGCCCATATAACAGAAAGCCCACCGACTATCATCCCTACGGTGAAAGTGGACAAAAGAAGAGAGAGGGAGCGAGAAGGGAGCAAACTGGAAGCCATCTCACAACACGATGCTCCAATAGCAGCCCAAGGATGCGAGAGGCAAGGATGCAGTGCACAGCAAGACGAGCACAGCTAGAGCGAAGTGCAAGGTACTCAGGCTTGGAAAATACTGTGGCCGAGAGAAGGAACTGCGTGGCAACACGGCGCCGCGCGCGGACCGACCTCTGATGACCACAGGGCAAACCCACCGCAATGGAAGGGATTGGCCGCCACCAGCCGATTGTGGGTCCAGCATTTTCTGTACGATATGCACAGAGGCATCAATTAGATTAGAAGCAAGCAGCGCCCGGCGAGAAGGAAGGGAGGAAGGACCCTCTCGCGGCCAGCAGCGCGGCGCAAAAACACAAGGAGACGATCGCCAATGGCAGAGGAGCAAGGGAGACAGCTGCGACTGGCCTCAAAGGCATGGACCCCGTAAGGCACCGCCAATCCACTGACCAATCAGGAGATGACGACGTTGTGATTGACTCTCTAGTAGTGGACACCATGGTACCGTAGTGGACACCATGATCGATCCCGACTCAATGATGCTTAATAGCGACGTGGCGATCGAGTCCGTCGTGGTAGACACTGTTTTTGTGCACGACCCCAGGCTCGCGAATACCAACGAGATGCTCGACTCCGCAATGGTGGACAACTTGGTGGCGATCCATTCCGTATTGATGGGAAGCGTTGTGGTGTCCGACTCTGTCGTGGTGTATACAATTGTGCTCGCAGACCTTCGTGCAGGGAACCGACGTGGTATTCGACTTCACTCGCGGGCAAAGCGGTAGCTCAAGATTCAATGCAATCGGATAGCGACGTGCTGCACAACGTCATTGTGGTTGGTCACCTCATGCCCCTCACTGGTGGATGTTGGGGTCGCGCTGCGGGTGCCCATCGTTGAGCTCATCTTCCCGCCACTGGTACGCTTCTTGCTTCTCCATTCAAGGTTCACCCGTACTCGTCGGCCTGCTCATGCTGCTTGTAACCCGTGAGCGCCCAAATGCCTACCAGTGATGGGTGGCGTCGTGTTGTACGACTCTTCCTCCGATATCGGCCTCAGGGCCGGGATCAAAGGTTAGCAACTTGTCCCCCCACCACCTCCTCGGGGTCGTATCGAGTGTGCCGGACCAGGCGTTGGAATAGCATTCGGAGCTGGAGCAGGAATTGGTGCTGGCATCATGCGGCTGGTGCCTGAGGCGCTGCGTCGGAGCTGGAGTCGGAGACAGAGTCGGAAATGGAGGATGGGTTCAAGTTAGCCGTAGCCAGCGCAAGAATCGGAGATGGAATCGGAGCGGGAGCACGTGTCGAAGGGGACGCGTAGCTGGAGCCGGAATTGGCACTTGTGACATGCGGATGGTGCCAGAAGGGCTACACAAAGATGATGTGCTCGTGGCACGAGCACAACAAAAAGAACGAAGGTATGTTTCTGGCCCCAAGAAACACCGCACACGAACAGGCTCCACGGCCCAACTCGAAGGAACGACTGGATAACCAGAACCCATCCTGAGCCCAGGCAATCATCGTTTTCGCGACTTGCCCGTGCGCGATGCCAGTCGGAAATGCACGCAAGGCCGAGGCGTCATAACCTCAACCAAGCAGCACATGGGGCCCAAAGACATCTTTTGAACCAGGGTGGCCGCGGAGAGAGACGACGAGGGCGAGGACGACGGCCCCGAGGAGGGAGGGACAGATGGGTAACCAGCTGCGGCGAGGAGAATCTGCTCAGCGAGCCGCATCGGCGGCCCCTGCGGCATGCAACGTCTTGCAATCTCAGAGCGTGTCGACCTCTCTCCGTGGATCGGAAGGCTGGGGAAGAGCTCGAATCGTCGACGCTTGGGGATAGGGACGCGCTTCGCGTCTTGCGCGGAAGCGTGGCGCGCCAGAACTGTCAGCGCGACACCCTGAGATCAATTGGGGCCAGAACTATCGGCGAGCCGCGCCAAAAAAACGTTGCTCACCGTAGATGCAACGACAGAAAGAGAGAGAGAGAGAGAGAGAGAGAGAGAGCGAGAGTGAGAGAGGGATAGTGAGAGAAGAGAAAAGAGAAAGAGAGAGAGAGAGAGAGCGAGAAGCAACGAAAGACAGAAAGAGAGAAAGAGAGAGAGAGAGAGAGAAAGAGAGAGCGAGAGAGAACGAGATGTAGAGAGAATGGAACAGAAAGAGAGAGAGAGGGAGAAAGAAAAAGAGAGAGAGAGAGAGAGCGAGAGAGAACGACAGAGAGAGAGAGAGGAATAGAGAAAGAAAGAGAGTGAGAGAGAGAGAGATAGAGGGCAGGATTGGGACGACGAGGAGGACGAGGAGGGGGGGACGGGGAAGACGAGGGAGGAAGGGGGCCCCACGAAGAAACGGTTGTCCGGAGACCCGCCTGGAAATTAGAAAGTCGGTGGGTACTGGGGGGGAGGGGCACTAATTAGGCGGGTCCTGGGGTGGCTCGCCGTCTTCACCCTCTTGGAGGCACTCATCCTGGGCCCAGGTGCTGGCGAAAGGCGACGCGGGCTGCAGAGCTGGTCCTGGGGGGCCCCTGGAGTCCAGGGCCCGTTCTCTTCATGGCTCCCCATCTCAGACGTCCTCCCCCGATGTGCTTTCCCGGCGCGCGGCACCAACAAAATCCTGGACGACTGTCCTCGGAGGGGCAGGCTGCCGTCCCGGATCATTGTTCGATGGCCCCAGGGCCCGATCGCACGCCCCCGAGGCCGAAAGGAAGGGACCGTGCCAAGCGAAATCTTCAGGAGCCTGGGCCTCCTCCCCTCAAACCTCGGCACGATCCGCTCGAGCGACCCGGGTCAATTCAAACCTGGGGGTCGGTCAGGCCTTGCAGGATCCTGCGAGATCCTGCGCCCAAGCCTGGGTCAAGGCGGAGGATCCTGCAGGACCCTGCAGGATCCTGCACGCAAGCCCCGGTCAGTGCGACCCATCGGGCGCTCTAGCTGACCCCCATTTGCATTGACCCCCGTCTCAAGGCTCCCGATCCGCTTGGAAGCCGCTTGGGCCGGGGCCCCCGGAGTCGCCGTCGTCTCTCCTGTGGTAGAACGCGGTCAGCTTCTGCTTGGCCAGCTCGAGCACCCGCCTGGCGATGCCCGTCTCTGCCTCCGCCTCGACGGAGAGTGCGTGCTCGGCCTTTCGCTGCAGCGTGGCCTTGAGGAGAGACGCGGGAAGGGGAACAGCTCGAGGGGGGTGGGATGGGGGGAACATCGAGCTGGACTCGGCGATGTATCGCCGATAGATCGGCCATATGCCTTCGATTGGGAATCTGCACCAGACCCCTACCAGCGATGAGAGGGCAAGAAGGGATCGATGCGTCCCCGATGAGCCTGTACCCCCCTCCCGTTGCCCATCAAGCCTGCTTCACGTCGAGGTCAAGCTTCTGGATGCTGGCCGCGAGGCTCTCGATGTCCTTCCGGACCGTCTCCAAGGAGTCCTTCGTCTCGGTGATGACGGTCTCCTTGTCGGAAATGAGCCGCTGGCGCACCTTCGCCTCGTCCTCCACGTGGTCGATCTCCTTCTCGCAGAAGCGCTTCTTCTCGTCGTCCTCCGACTGCTCCTCGTCGAGCAGCCGCACGAGGTCGTCGATCATTCCAACGATCTGCTCCATGCCCGCCTCCGTTCTCTCCCTTCGCACCGTCCCATCCTGCACCGCCCCTCTTCCCCCGCTACACATCCATTGCGACACAAGACGTGGCACCACCCGGGCCCCCGGACCCTCCAAAAAAACCCGAATCCTACAACCCGTTCTGTTCCCGGGCCACGCACCCTTTCCCAATACCCCCGTCTCTCCCGCCCCCCTTTTTCACAACCCCTTACTCCCTCCCGCCCCCCCATTTCCTTCTCTCCACTCCGACCTCCCTCTTCAGATATCCGATGTGTTGTTTTGGTTCCATACGCGGCCACCAAAATTTCGGAGGCTCTTTGCTGGCCCCCGGGGCCCAGCGAGGGTCCCCGGATCCCCGCCCAGTCTGTAGTGGGTCCTGGAAACGATAAACGAATGTTTTGTTAACAGCACTATTTTGCAAATGCTTGGCGGCTTTGGCACCGTTGATAGTCCCCGTTCTGTCGCAATTTGATTTGCGGTCCCCGATCTCACCCCAGAGCAATTTGCCGACCGTTTCTGGGATTTGTCTTACCGCTTGTATTGCCAAAATGTAAGCAGCGTGGGCCCCAACCAGTCAGGTGCGGCACTGTGGAAGTGTAAGTTACGCTGCGAAAGCTAATTGTGCGGCGTGATCAGCTTGGTGGAAACAATACTATGGAAATTAGGTGGTATGAGCTATGTGATACGAGCTTTGGTGCTAGAGCGACGTGCTACAAGCTAGGCTGTGTAAACGATGTGGCGTGATACATGCTGTGTAAGGTCAGCTTGTGATTAACAAATCCGCGGGGGGGGGCGTGTTTGAAACATTGTTTCCCTGTTCGGGCGAATCGCGGGGTGGCGCCCGCCAGCTTGAAAATCAACGGCGGCGGCGCCTGTGATTAGAGCCGACGCCCAGCCGCCAGCGGGAAGGCGACAGACAACACAGACTGGGGAAGGGGAAGGGAGCGGAAGGCAGAGGCGGCAGAAGCAGGGACCGTGAGACAGGGCGACTCTTGTTCGAAACGAAGAAGAAGAACTGCTGTCGGCGCTCGCCACCGCACTCTCCGTGTTTTTTTCTGTCGAACCGATGCCCTTCTGTTGCCCTGGCCGCCAGCTACCTCCCGGGCCCGCGAGCAAGGCGGCCTGAACGAAAGGGGGCGTGGCCAAGGGGGCTTTTGTCCAGCAGCTCACGCTGCTGAATTTTCGAGCGCCCCCCGGCGCCGAAAGCGGCCACGTTTCGAGGAGTGGCCCCTCGGCGGGGCGACCGACACCATCTGCGCGCAGCAGCTGTCGCACCCCCCCCTTTCCTTCCCCAGCCTTTCGTCCGATCCGAGCAAACCGGGTAGTCCTCCTCCCCCCTCTGTCGTGGTTTCGGTAGTCGACGATGGCGACGACGACGAAAACAACGACGACGACGACGACAAAGACGAAAACAAGGACGAAAACGAGGACAAGGACAAAAACGAGGACGATGACAATAAGGACCGAGGACGAAGACGAGGACGAGGACGACGGGCGGCGGACGGCAGACGGCGACGGCGGCGACGACGGCAGAGAACACGCACGGTGGATGCCCTATGGGGGGGGACTGCGCAGGCCCGCTGTAGTCGACGACGACGACGAAGACGACGAAAACGACGACGACGACAACAACGACGACGGAAACGACGACGATGACGAAAACGAGGACGAAAACGAGGACGAAAACGAGGACAACCACGACGACGACGAAGACGGCGGTGACGACGACGACGACGACGCGACGACGACGACGACGACCCACTGCGGATGCCCTATGGGCGGGGTCCTGCGCAGGCCAGCTGTATTCGACGACGACGAAGACGACAACGACGACAACGACGACGACGACGACGCTGACGACGACGACGACGGCGACGACGACGCTGACGACGACGACGGCGGCGGCGACGCGACGACGACAACGACGACAAGGACGACAAAGAAGTCGTCGACGACGACGACGGCGGCGGCGACGGCGCTTGAGATGAAGGAAGAAGTCGCCTCGGATGTGTACCCCCCTGTGACGCAGGCGGGTACACGATCCCCTCGGCGGCGACAGCGACGACCCCTTGGCGCGCGTGATTTGAAAAAGGTTTCGCGCCCAGCGGGGTCTATTCATCAGCCCCAGGGGGGGAGAGGGGAGCCTTTCGTTAATCACAAGCTGGCATCAAGCTGTGCGGTGTGAACTATATGGCCGGAGTGATGCATAGTGAACTGTGTGGTGGGAGCTACATGGTGAACGCTAAGAAATGCAATGCGCATGACATGGTATATGTTGTAAGGGCATGTACGCAGAGCCGTATAAACTGTGCGGTCGGTCCTATATTGTATGAGCCATGTCGTGTATGCTATGTGGTGCGAGCTATGGGGCAACATTCTGTTAATACAATAGATGTACACCTATGTAAGTATATGGTGTGTATGTATGTATATACATATATACACACGTGGTAGCAATCTACTGTTGATCTACTGCTGTGTGAGCTATGTAGTGCGGCGACGGACGGGAACGGGGCCGACGGGCCCGCAGACGGGCCGTATGGGACGGGGGTCGCCAGGCCCGCAGACAGACCCAGTCCCCTAGATGGGAAGCAAACAACCAGCGCAAACATGTTCAGAAACACTTGTCTGGACCACTTCCCTCGGGCTGGCTCCTCATCCTGGAAAAATTACTTGACGTCTCCAGGGCCCGTCGCGGGCCCCTGGAGGCCGAAAATGGTCAAACACGGTCCGCTCCAACTGCTTCGGGGCACCTGACCTCTGGGGCCACGGCTCCCTCTGGGCCCCACCGCGGCAGGTGCCCAGTCGGCCTTCTTGCCCCTCAGCGCCATCTCCACGAGCTTCAGCCTGGGGCCCCCGGCGCGCCCGCTCGCCCTCCGCGGCGCGCGGGCCGCGCGCACCTGGAGCGGGCACGGCGGTCAGCCGGCGGCAGCGGCAGCAGCAGCAGGACAGCACGTGGACAAACTCGCCTCGGCGGCGAGCCAGGTGGGGCAGGGGACGGGAGGTGGGGCGTCTCCGAAGGCTCGGAAGTCCCCGGGTCTTCTGAGTGGCTTTCAACGCCTCAGAAGGCCACAGGGGCCTCCACTTCTCTCACTTCCCCCCCTCGCCGGCCGCCGAGTGGAGCGCTGCCATCCGCCATGGGCAAAAAGCTGCACGCACGTGCGGGAACAGAGAGCGCTCGCCGCCCAGCGGCGACCCCAGGCGCGAAGGCGGGGAGAGGGCGAGGGGCTTCGGGCCCCACCAGCTGGACGAGATCGGCGCGCGCCTCCCAGACCACCGACGTCCTCCCGTCGCGACATATCCCAGCTGATCACCCCAATAGCAGCCGAGGTGAAGAGGCGGGTCGAGGAGCAGGATATTCGGCAATGACAAAACGCGCATCGCTGTGTCTTCCTGGGAGTGCCCAGGAAACGCAGCAGTCACGTTAACCTGAGTGTGCTTGTCGTGTCAGGGATCGCGGCCGTCCGGACCAAAACTCTAGCTGGCACTGATGCGAGAGCGCGTTTCCTGAACATCTTTTGAAGGCGACTGAGGCGAAACGGCTGCCGGACTAGGCGGCGTGGGGCCCCCCCTGTGGGACTCTCCTGTCACAGGTATGAGAACCATTCTCTAGAAAAACGCTGGGAGGTAATTCGTTAAATCCTTACAGACTTGAGGGGGATTTTGACCAGCACCCCCCCCGCCCGCGAAATCAATGTTTTAGGGGTCGAATATTTTTGTCCGCCAAAGTCCCCTCCATTCCCGAACACTCAATGTTAATATGGGGGGGCAGGGGGGGGCATCTTGCGCCACAGGCAGCCAGCGCCACCAGCAGCAGCAGGAGGAGCGTTGCTCTGGATCTTCTTCTGACCCAGACATGCTCGCGTCGTGCAGAAATGAAAGTTTTCTTTTGAATTCAGACTCTGGCGAATTTACTTGTATGGCATTCCCCCCGTCCACCACGTTGTCCAACAACGCTGGCCGAACAGGCGTGTCAGTGAATCCCGGCTTGCGTGAAGTGCGGATTTCCTTTGGGGCCTGGCCACGCCCACCCACCCCTTCTATGCGGGGAAACTTGCCAGAGTCTACGAAGACGAACGCACTCACGACCTAATGTGAATAGCCAATCTCAGCCTCTGGGGGACCTCGGCGGGCCCCAGGACCATGACAAAAACGGCTCGAGATGAGAAACTGGCTCTGGGTAAAGGGTAGGAATTTCTGGAACCCTGACTTCAATTAAAAAAACTCAAGACACCGGATGTCTGCGTCATGAGCCCTCGGACGGGGCAGGACGAGGATAAGTCATTCCCAGAGCGCCGCGGAACGCTCTCGGAGCGTTCTGGAACGCTTCGGGAGAAGCGCCGCGCCCGAGACATCCTCCAGAGCCGCCGGATCACAGAAATTCTCGACTTTTCCTCACCCGATGTCATCCCCGTCCTGGCTTCGTCTTAAGCCCGCGCCTCCCGAAGCGCGAGGCTCGACTGGCTCTGCGCTCATCGCGCATCGCAGCCCCCGGGAGAGGGACGCCTCCACGGCCCAGGCTGCGGGGCGAGGTGCCCAGACTTCCGGCGACGTGATTTTTGCCACTCCAGGCGGTGCTCCTCGATTGGGGCCCCAGGGCCATCCGAGATGGATCCGGGGAGGGGCGCTATACCCTCGGGGAAGGGGTCGGGAGCTCTCGGGCCGCGGATGGAACGCATGCCGGAGGACTTCTGGGCACGGCGGGCTCGGGTCGTGACGACTTGTGCGTTGGCTCCTGGCACCACGCGGATCTTTCAGCCCTGACTGATCTCAGCTCGCCGATCGCGTAGTATCGTGCGATATCGGCCGATACTGGACCACTGGTGGTGGCGTTCAACCTTGGAAGCCCGCGCCAGGGCCGCCACCGCGTCGACACGACGCGAACCTGCCGTAATCCTTGCGCCCCTGCGGAGGTAGACCCATCTTACCCTTGCCAGCGCAGACGGCGCACCCACCTGGAGGAAGCCAGGCGCGTCCGTCTGAGCTAGCCCTGCAGTGGGAAGGCTCTTCTTGAACAGATCAAGGGCGTCGTCGTCGTTCAGGAGCTTGATCGTATCCGCAATTGCGACCACCTCTTGGCTCTGCAATTTCTGGTAGAGCTCCCACTCCTCCTGCTTCTGCTTGCAGGACCTCAGCATGTCCGCGAGGAAGGCCTTGTCCTCCGCAAGGCCTTCCTTTGTATACTCCAGCTGGTTCTGCAACGTGACGATGTCCACTGCGAGCTTTCCCAGGCGTCCAGTCTTGTCCTCGACGGCCTTGGACGCGGCATTGACCTCCTTCTTTTTCGCCGCCACCAGGCTGTCGTGACTCCTGCGTGCCTGCTCCTCCTCCGAGGTGCTCTCAGCCAGACGCTCGGCCATGTCAGACTTCATCTGCTTCAGCATTCCGAGCACCTCGCCGCTCTGGGGATCGTGACTTTGCGAACCTCCGCCGGCGAGGAAGCCCTGCAGGAGATCGATGTCGTCACCGTTCATGCTCGTGGACAGCGAGAGCTGCCTCAGGACCGAGGCCGCGCTGCTCTGCAGGAAGCTGGAGCCCCCGCCGCTGGAGATGGCGTCGATCGCCTGGCCCAGAGCATTGATGTTGGTCTTCGTGTCCGCGGACTCCTTCTCGAACGCCTGCGCGTCCTTCGCCCGCAGGGCGTCCGCCTCCTTGACGGCCGCCTCCGCCGACGCCATGTCCGACTTGGTCTTCTCGAGGTCGGAGGCGATCTGATCACGCTCGGCCGAAGCCTGCTTGGCATACGACTCGAGCTGAGGAATGCCCTCCTCCGCGGAGGCGATGGAGGACGAGAGACCGCCGTCCGTGCTCTTGCAGAAGCACATGAACTTGTCAAACAGCTCGTGCTGCTTGTCGCCCTCCTCCCGGACCTTCCTCTCCATTTTCTGCAGAAGCGTCACCACTTTACGGATGGGGTTTGCCCGCGCCCGAGCCTGCGGCGGCTGGCTCAACGTGCTCCATACTCTTCCCTACTCCTGTTGTCTTCCAACGGGTCTCTTCCCGCAGTGAAGGTAAATCCTTACAGAAGCCTGTGAAGAGGGGACTTGGAGGAAGGGTTTATTGCAATATCGTTGATGGATCTTGGGTATACACTTGTCTTCCTCCTCCTCATCATCATCATTTAGGGTTCTCATCCTCGGGATTCCCTCCAAACAGGTCCAAAGAACTTGGTGTCGGAATATCGCCCCCCATCGCAGATACATTTGAGATGCACCAGACTCTGGGTCGAGCCGCATATTCGATGCGTCAGCGATGCGGCGCAATCCTTCGACTACCGTCTACTCGGGCCCCATATCTGGGAGTCCTGGATCCGCTTCCTCCTCCACCCGAGCCTGCACCGCACTTGCGACTGCCAGGCTGTGGGACGCCACGACGAGCAGCGGGAACCACTGCGGCAGCCATGCGCGAGCGCGGCGCATCCCTCGCGGAGGTGCGAGGAAGCTTCAGTATGATATGTTGGTTGGGTGGTCCGAGAGCCCCATCTTGCAGGACCCGCGGTGGGGTGGCGGGCGGCTGGGACATGAGCAGCGCCGCCCCGCTTGTTGGGTCGAGCCAGCACGGCCGAGACGCGGTGGCCGATCCTCGATGATCGAGGGTCAGAGTCGCAGAAGGCATCTAGCCTCTGGATCGGGTGCTGCCAATGAGTTGTCCATGGCCCCCACGGTGTCCCCGGCCTTTCTCTTCACTTGGAAGCGCCCCTTGGGCCCTGTGAAGGGTGCTCAGGAAGCCACCCGAGCCTTCTGGGACACCTTTGGCAGAGCACCTGGCACTGGAGGCCTTCGGGTACAGCCATGGGCCTCAGGGAGCGAAGAGGTAAAAGGCGAAGGCGCTTAAGGCTTAGCGGGCAAGTCCCAAGCAGCAGCGGCTGCTGCTCACAAGTACCCGTTGTTCTTTAGGTTCTGGCCAGTTTCCATGCACGGAGGGAGAGGGGGGGGCGCCGTGGCGAGGCCCGAAAGAAGGTCCGCACTCAACGCAAGCCGCGACTCACTTGCACCCCTTTCCGGCCCAGCGCTGTTTGACAAAGCGGCGGAGAGGGGGGGGAGGCGAGAATGCCATGCGAGTAAACTTCGCAGCGTTCGCAACGCTCCAGGCTGGACGAAGAGGTAAACGGAGGTGAGGAGGTCCATGGAGGTACGGAGATGCGGGAGGGCGGCATCGCACGCAGTGGCGTCCCAAGAGCCAAGACGCAGCACCGAGGGATCCCACTGCAGTGTCAAGGCGATCAGTAACGTTTCAGGACAGCATTCCTCTGAGGGGGAACCAGGCAAGGGAATGGTGGTGGCGGGAGGGCCCAGGAAAAGGGATGGAGGCGGGGGGTGGAGAGGAAGAGGATCTGCAGCAAGGGCAAGGGCAAGATGGTGAGGAGCTGCAGCAGCGAAGCTGCAGCATGAAGGGGAGGGCACGATGAGCATGATGACGAGGAGAACCAGGATTTGCAAACCGCCAGCAGGCGGAGCGGGCCGAACAGGAGGGATAGGAGCACGATCTGCATACGGAGTCCAACTCCATGAGTAAGAACGACCCCATGCTGAAATGATCTTGGATTCCACACTCCCTCCTTCCTCCCCCCTCCCTCCCTACCTCCTTCCCCCACCTCCCTCCGCCCATTCCCTCCCCACCTCCCTGTCCCCTTGTCTCCCTACTTCTTTCACCCTTCCTCCTTCTCCCCCCCACCTTTCCCTGCACTCCTCCCTCCCCGCACCCTCCCCCACGCCCTACCCCTCTCCCTCTCCTTCCCGCCATCCCTCCTCGCCTCCCTCCCCTCCCTCCCCCGTCCGTAACCCCCCTCCCTCCCCCCTCCGTAGCCTTTTTGGCTCACACCGCCCATAACGGGCGCCCCACCGTGGCGCGAGCCGGCTTGCGATGTGCCTCTGGACAGATGCTGCAGGCGGGCGCACCTGCGGAGCCTGGGCTGGCGCGGGACTGGTCGCTGCCGTGCGGCGATCGTGGTGATCGGCGGCGCGGATCGCAGTGCGGCGAGGCGTGCGGCGCAGGAGGCTGCGGAGAGGTTGGTCCAGCGCATCACCGCCGAGCTGCACATGGTGAAGTGGCGCCATTGGAGAAGGCGCTCGACACGTTCGTCGTGAGCAGCAGGGCCGCGCAGCGAGTCCGTGCGCTGGAGGGGCGGGCACCCAGGTGGCTGGACGTCCTGCGTCGGAAGGTGGCGCTCCACGCCAACGCCAAGGGTGTCGACATCTCGGCGGCTGACGTCTCCGCGCTGCGCCGCGTTCAGCGTGGGTCGCGGCTGGAGGAGCGCATTGAAACGGCTACCCGCCAATGTTCATGCCAGGAGCGGGGCGACGGGAAGTGCCGCCGCCAGAGCGCCGCTAGGGCAGCTGGAAGTCGCCCGAGCCGTGCCACGTACGGGTGCTCGTACTGCGCCGCACCTGCAGCGCCGCGGCTTGCTCGGGAAAAGCTGTGCAATGACGTGGAAGCGCTCGTCGCGAGGTGGAGTCGTCGACTGCCTTCGCGGAGGTCTCTGAGTTGGCGGCGGGCACGCCACGGGAATGGACCGATGGCAGGAACGACCTGGACGTCGACATGGCCATGTACGTGGAGGATATCCGTGGAGAGGTTTCGGAGGTCGGCGGTGAGCGCCAGGCCGAGGGCGTCGCAGCTGGAGGCCTCGGTGGCTCGCACATGCAGGTGCCCGAAGCAGAGCTTCAGCCGTCTTCCGAGGCTGATGAAGCCGATACGCCAGCTGCTGCGGCCTCTGATTGTTCTGCGGCAGGCGTCTACCGTCGAGATGACAGTCGATGGGCAGTCGCCCGAGCAGGATATTCAGGCGCAGTGACGTGGTGACGTGGTTTTGATCCGACACGCTGTCCGCGAGATTACGAGCTGCGGCCGCCAGCGCGGCCGACCCTCGTCTCCGAATGAGGTGGGGGCGGATCGTCATGAAGGAGAACGTCCCTATTTGGTGGTGCCGTGCGTGCAGGTACATTGTGAGCGAGGAGCGCAACGACTCGGTGTCTCCTTAGAAGAGATGGCGGTAAGCCAATGGAAAAATACAGTTGGAAATCACAGCTAGAGCCCATACCCAAACTCTCTGCTGCATGTTTCGAACCGGGTCGATACGTAAGAGTCCCAGCGCCCGGACCTGGGCCAACATGCCTGTTGCGAGAAAACTGCAGCGCACAGATCTCAAGTTCGCTCGAAACATGAATTCCTCAATCAGAGCTTGCCTCTGTAGGGGTCCTAGCGGATAGAAAGCTGAGGTGAGGTGGGCGGCCGATTTCGGTGGCCGGGGCCGGGTGCCCGGGTGCCCGGGGGTTCCCGGGGGTGCCCGGGTGCCCAGGTGTGTGGCCGATTTCGGTGGCCGGGGCCGGGTGCCCGGGGGTGCCCGGGGGTGCCCGGGTGCCCGGGGGTGCCCGGGGTGCCCAGAAGTACCCGGGGGTGCCTAGCTCAATAGCCCTATATCCCGATAGCAATATAGCCCAATCGCCATATATCCCTATAGCACTATAACCCTATAGCCCTATAGCCGTACCTATACGAGCACCCTTCGGGTGATAAGGAGGTTCGGGGGGGGGAACCAACGTCTCACTCGATCGGTCTCACTATCGATCACAGTATCGATCTCACTAGCGGTCTCGCTCGATCGATCTCACTCGATCGATCTCACAATCGATCTCACTCGATCTATCTCATTCGATCGATCTCACAATTGATCTCACAATCGATCTCACAATCGATCACACAATCGATCTCGCATTCGGTCTCAATATCGATCTCACTATCGATATCACAATCGCTCTCACAATCAACGTCATCATCATCATCATCATCATCATCATCATCATCATCATCATCATCACGCCACCAGTTTCTTTAGACACGCCAGCGCCATCTCAAGGCACGCCCGTTTCAGCGCCCATGGCGAGTACAGCCCAGCCAGTGCTCGTGCCGCCCAGCCTGCCAGCGCAGGTCGCGCCACTATCAGACTCTGTGCTTTTTCAACGCCCGCTTGCCACTGACGCTTCGCCAGCACCCGTGCCTGTTTCTTTGCTAGCGCCAGTTGAAACCCCTTCAGCGCCATCGAGTGCGCCCGACCAGCCGAGTAGCACGCAGGCCCCGTTTGAGTTTGACGCCGAAGATGAGGCGGCACACTTTTTCTTCTTATAGATGTCTTCCGTTACGAGGCAGCGCAGCGCAGCCCCCCTGTGCCAGCACCCTCGCGACAGCGGCCCAATGAACGGGGCTTCACGAGTTCCATGGCACTCTGCGGCGGATCATTCTTTTTTACTATTGCAAGCTGGCCCCAGTTTGATTGGTCCTGATGCCGAGTAAAAATCATCATCATCAACATCAACATCATCACCAACATCGTCATCATCATGAGGGCACCGTCATCATCATCATCATCATCATCATCATCATCAGCATCATCATCTTCTTCATCATCATCATCATCATCATCATCATAAACATCATCATCAACGTCAGCATCATCATCGGGACAACATCATCATCATCACCATCATCATCTCATCATCAACATCAGCATCATCATCATCATCGTCATCATCATCATCATCATCATCATCATCATTGGGACCCAGTCATCGTCATCATCATCAGCAGCATCATCAGAATCATCATCATAATCGGGACACCATCATGATCACCATCGTTCTCATCATCAACATTATCGTCAACATCGTCATCATCCTCGGGGCACCATCATCATCATGATCATCGCATCATCATCATCGACATCATCATCAACAACATCATCATCATTGGGGCACCATCATCATCATGAGCAGCATCAGCATCATCATCGTCATTATCATTATTATCACCATCGGGACACCATCAGCATCACCATCATCATCATCATCAGCATCATCATCGGGACACCATACTCATCATCAACATCATCATCATCATCGACATCATTATCGCCAGGACACCATTTCCATCAACATCATCATCACCAACATCATCGGAATCATCATCATCATCATCATCATCATCATCATCATCATCATCATCATCGGGACACCATCATCGTCATCATCATCAACATAATCATCATGAGCATCATCATCCTCATCATCGGGACACTATCATCATCATCGACACCATCATCAACATCATCTTCATCTTCATCTTCATCGGGAGACCATCATCATCATCATCATCATCATCATCATCATCATCATCATCATCATCATCATCATCATCATCATCATCTCATCATCATCATCCTCGCGGGACACCGCGGGACACCGGCGGGACACCGCGGGACACCGCGGGACCCTGGCGGGACGCCGCGGGGCCCCGCGCCCCGGAAGAGAAACATTTGGTCCGGCCGCGCCTCAGCCACAGGAGGACACCGCGGGACGCCGGCGGGACACCGCGGGGCCCCGCGCCCCGGAAGAGAAACATTTGGTCCGGCCGCGCCTCAGCCACAGGAGACTTTTTCTCGCCCGCCCACGCAGCTTCGCCTCGCACGCACAGCACGCACGAACGTGAAACCGAAACCGATTTCCCGGTGGGGGGCTCGCCGTTCCACTTCGATCTCAGCCCCTCACCTCCGACAGCCCTATAGCCCAATAGCCCAATAGCCCAATAGCCCCATAGCCCCATAGCCCCATAGCCCTATAGCCCTGTAGCCCTATAGCCCTATAGCCCTATAGCCCTATAGCCCTATAGCCCTATGGTCCTAAAGCCCTATAGCCGTATATAGCCCTATAGCCCTATAGCCCGAATAGCCTTATAGCCCTTAGCCCTATAGACCTATAGCCCTGTAGCCCTATAGCCCCATAGCCCTGAAGGCTTCTAGCCTTATATCCCTATGGCCACATCGCCCTATAGCCCTATAGCCCTATAGCCCCATAGCCCTATAGCCCTAAAGCCCCATAGTCCCCCCAAATTCTGATTGGGTTTTTTCTCTGGTATCATTCGTATGCGTTGCCCAAAAGCGCTGGGGGAGTGGGCGAAGGTCCTGGTCGTGGTTCGGTATACAACACGCCATCCCTGGGGCGTGGCTTTGGTGCACAAGCGTCGCCCGACGCGGTGGAATCTGACTGGGGCGGGGAGGGTGTGGTATACAAGAAAGCTTGAGGATAAAAATAGCCTGCCCCCTCCCCTCCCCTCCTCCCTTCCCTCCTCCTTTCCTCCCCCCCTTCCCTCGCCTCTCCCCCATCGCGCGCCCGCCGGCCCGTGACGCGTCCTTCCCCAGGGAGGAGTCGCTCTGCGCAGGGCTCAGCCGCACCCCGGGGGGCAGCTTCTCGCAGTTCTCCCCCAGCCTCCGGGGGGGTGGAAAACGCGCCGTAACAATGCTCGTTCTGGGAAAAAGGATTACCATAGGCCTTAGATACCATGACTACAACGCTCTTGTGGGCCAGATCCGCATCATAGCGGTTATCGCGTAGCCGTTCTACTAAGCCGAATCTGATCAATCATGTTGAATGTTCGCTGGCGTGGCCCCCCCCAACAGGAGTGTAGCATACCAGTCTACGTGGTGAAATGTATGTATATACGTACGTATGTATGGTGGCATGTGTGTGTGTCCGTATATACATATTTATACACATAACTATGCGCACGCACATATTTGTGTGTGGGTGGTGCGTATGTGTGTGCTGTGCAACATGGCTGGTGCGCCTTATGTGATACGATATAAATGCCGCCCCTCTGTGTTGCAATATGTTTGGTGCCGTTTACTTCATGCAATCCATGTGGTGAGCCTTACGTAGGGCCACCTATGTGATGCAATTTGGTTGGCGCAATCGATGTGGACAATTTATGTTGTACAATATATGTTGTGCAATTGTGTTTGTACAAACGAGCTGACACATCCCATGCTCTTGCAACCATCCAACTCACGCACCCACGTGATGGCTTGCAACGCCCATACGGTCGCGATTGCGATGACTGCTCGGCGTTGGCTGGTGCATCTCTGCGGCCGCGTCAACCCAATCACGCGCGCGCGGCGGCCAGCAGGTTTGGCGCGACCGACGCGGCCGCGGCGGCGCTGACCGCTGGGCTTCTCGACGGGCATTGCATTGCGAGTCGGCGACTTGGGCGGGCGCGGTATCATGGCAACGTCGACAACGAAAGACACGATAATGATAGTAGCGATGCTGGTGGCGATGTTGACAACGGCGACGGCGCGGCCAGTGCGGGCGCCGATGCTGATCATGCCGACGACGATGACAGCGCCCCCCCGTCGTTGATGAAGTTTTTGGGAAAAACTCGACATGCGCGCAGGGCCGACGCGCGCGAGAGGCCCGCGTGGCAGCAGTTAGCCCGGATCGTGGTCCCCCCAACACGCGCGCAAGGGCGTGCGAATGATTCCGGCATGCGGCGCCAGAGGCCCGCTTGGCAGAATCCCATGAACATGTTGAAAGACTGAGACTTTTCTATATACATATATATATATACACATATATATATATGTATACATACATACATATATGTATGTAAATAATTCGCAAGGGCGCGAGCGCAGGCTTTTTTGAAAACTGATGTTGCGAAACCATGTGTTGTGTTTGGACACTTTGGTTTGGCATCCTTGCGGGAATCATACTTGTTGACGGATTTCGGCATGCGCGCGCAACGACGCGAACGCGGTTCGTTTGCAACGGGATTCTCGCGATGGGACGCGCGCAATGGCGTTCGGAAAATTTCGACACGCGCGCTCGCGAAGCCCCTTTGGTAGCACTTTCTGACAACCATGAGAAACCCATGGCGTTCCTGATAATTCGCAAGAACGCGCGCGAACTTATTTCGAAAATCCGTGTTGCGAAACTATGTGTTTTTACTTCGTGCGTGAACACTCGG